CAGGACATGGGAGCACACTACAAACATTGAGAAACACCAGACAAGACCAGAATATGTTTTTAAATATAAATGTAGTTATATGTTGGTTTTTTAAAAAAATAGGGAATAGAGTTTCTAAAATAAGTACACAAAGAAAAATAACCAACCCCCGAAAGGTGATACGATACCGTGTGAGGGTGGGGCACTCAGACCCACCTGGACATATTGGAATCTCCTGGGACCCTCTGTTTCCACCCTGTCCCCTCACCTGCCATCACACCTGTGGCCGACGACTGAGGTGGCTGTCATGTGTCCTCCCCCCTTGCTCTCACTGACCCTCCAGGGAGCCAGAGAAATGACCCTGAATTGAGCACTTGAGAAAGAAGGGCCAGAGATGCCAGGCCCATTTAATCCCCATTGAATCCCACCCCCAGAGGTGATGGTCTCAGCATCACCTGCATTTATATTTGTGCACAGGGAGAACGGAGACGGGGAGGGAGTGTCAGTTGCCAAAGTGGAGCCGGGTCCAGCCCACCCGGGCACTTCTGCCTCCCACGCTGCCTCGTCCCACTGCTCGTGAGGAGGGTCCCGGAACCCCTCTGGGTGATGCAGGCAGCGCAGCTGTGAGGAACCAAGGGGTGCAACATGCTCTTTACGCTGACACCCTCTGCCCACTCTTTGAGTTTGAAGAGCAGAAACTTGGAACAGAGAAAAGGAAACACTCAGTTATACCCCAGAGCTCTGACCCCTCACTGCTACCTTTCAACCAGCCTGATTCAGACATGGCCTTGGTGACTCAAAATTCAGCCTTAAAGGCTTGACAAGACAGTGAGGCCACGCACACGGAAAGAGGCTGGAGCCCGTTGAAACCAAGCCCTGCGGGGCAAGGACCTGGACTTGGTCTGCTGCTGGCTTTCTTTGTCAAATAACGGGGGCAGGGCGGGGCAGGGCGGGGTGGGGGAGCGTGTCAAGGATATGAGCCCAGTGGAGGCCTGACGGCAGGTGCTGACCCTGGTGGGTGTGGTGCGTGGTGTAAAACGCCTCCTTTCCCCGGCTCCAGGTCAAGCTCTCCGTGTACTGGGACTACATGAAGGCCATCGGACTTTTCATCTCCTTTCTGAGCATCTTCCTTTTCTTGTGTAACCACGTTGCCGCCCTGTCCTCCAACTATTGGCTCAGTCTCTGGACTGACGACCCCATCGTCAACGGGACCCAGGAGCACACTAAAGTCCGGCTGAGCGTCTATGGAGCCCTGGGCATCTCTCAAGGTAGGAGCCGCCCCTCTGCACCCTCCCCCATCCCACCTGATTTTGGTACTTGGAACCACTTTTCTGTCTTGTTAGAGAACTGGTCCCTACTTGTCAGGGCTTTATAGACCACCACCCCCCCCAACCAAGACAAACCCAGAAGAACAGTACCTGACACACAGTAAACATTCAAATATTATGAATGCTTTGTTTCACATGGCCCTAGGAGATAGAGGAGAGTGCCAGTGTGCCCATTTTATAGATGAGGAAAGTTGAGGAAGAGAGTCCACCTGGAGCATTCATGGTGCATCTGTACAGTTTCATTTGTGGGCTTTTCCCTGCTGTCTGAGGGTGGGGATTCTTAGCACATGTAGTGTTGGCCCCTCCGGGACATGTGGAATGTCTGGAGATCCGTGTGGTTGTTACAACTTCTGAGGGTGCTACTGGGTCTAGAGACCAGGGATGTTGCTAAGCATCCTGCACTGCACAGCACAGATCCCACAACGGAATTATCCAGCACCACATGTCAACAGTGAGAGGTTGAGAAACCCTGCTGTATGCCCTTCTTATGGTCCCATGAGAGTTCCCAAACCACAGCGTTAATACTAACAGCTAGTGTTTACTGAGCACTTACCTGGTGCCTGGTTCTGTTCTAAACACCTTTATGTGTTTTGACTTGTTTTACCCTTGCAGCAATCTCACGAGGTAGGAGCTAGTATTTTCCCCATTTTAGAGATGCAGAAACTGAGGTCCAGAGGGACTAAGTAAGTTGCCCTAAGTCACATGCTAACAGGTGACAGAGCTGGCATTGAATGAGGTAGTCTGGCTCAGAGCCCGTGCTCTTAACCACTACGCTACATGCTACATAGTACACTAGGTATGTGTTTATGTGCTCATCAAAACTGTTTATATATACACACATGTACATTCAATGCCTAGGCGCATAGTGTGTACAATAGATATACACATATTTGACATTCTTGAGCACTTTTTGTGCACCAAGCACATAGGTGGGTAGGCCCCTTGCATTTGACATTGCTATAAATAGTGTCCCATGTTACAGATGGGGAAGCTGAGGTGCAAAGAGGTTAAGTGACTTGCGGAAGGCCCCACACCTGGCAGGTGACAGAGACAAGGTCTGACAGTGTTGGCTCCGGAGCCTGTCATTTTAGTCCCCTCTTGCAATCGCCTCTCTGCAGAGAATGGGTGCCCTCCGTGGCTTGTTTGGAGGAGCGACAGTTGCCTCTTGAACTCCAGGAGATGGCTTTGGAACAACCCAGAAGAGCAAACATGGATTTCTTAAGTTTCTCAGTCCCTGCAACGCCCTCCTAGGGCAAAGGACTATGGACTCCAAATTATCATTGAGGGGAGGTGGTGCACAGAGCGATGTTTATCTGGGCCCACACAGCAGCAGTGTCTAGGGTAGCTGTGCTGTCCTGTAACGGTCGTCTTTGGCCATGGGTAACTACTGAATTTCAATTCATTAAATTGAAATCAAAGTAAACATTCGGTCGTTCCCTGCACTAGCCACATTTCAGGTGCTCAGCAGCCACATGTGGTTCATGGCTACTCCATTGGACAGGACAGATGTAGAATGTTTCCGTCATCACAGAAAGTTCCATTGGACGGGGCTGGTCTAGAGTTCGGCCGACAGCTTGAGAGCATGAGCGGGAGCAGGCTGCCAGGATTAAACCCCATCTCTGCTTCTAATTGGCTGAGAATATTGAAGGTGGAGGAATTCACCTGAGTTCCAGTTTCCTCATCTGTGAAATGGGTAGTTATCTGATTTATACAAAGTTGTCATAAGGATTAGATACCTGTAAAACTTCAGTATGGTGCTTAGCTCATAGTAAGTGCTCAATGAATAATAGCCATTATCATCATCATCATCAGTATTATTATTATAGCTGGGGACCCTGCCCTGCTTCGTCCACATGGTCGCATGGTCACTCGTCCCAGCCCCCAGCTTGGCCCCTCTCCCATTGTGGAGTCTAATGTGAGAATGTTTGCAGGGCTTGCAGTCTTTGGCTACTCCATGGCGCTGTCCATCGGGGGCATCTTCGCCTCCCGCCGCCTGCACCTGGACCTGCTGCATAATGTCCTGTGGTCGCCCATGAGCTTCTTCGAGCGGACGCCCAGTGGGAACCTGGTGAACCGCTTCTCCAAGGAGATGGACACGGTGGACTCCATGATCCCGCAGGTCATCAAGATGTTCATGGGCTCCCTGTTCAACGTCATCGGTGCCTGCATCATCATCCTGCTGGCCACTCCCATCGCCGCTGTCATCATCCCGCCCCTGGGCCTCATCTACTTCTTCGTCCAGGTGAGAGGTGGGCTGTTGGTGTCTGGAAGAAGGCCTGCTGCGTGTCAGGCTCCCCTGGGCACAGGGCTCGGCCCTCGCCCCGGTTCCCTCTGGAGCTGCGGAGGGTTTGCTGGGGGCGCGATGGGTGTGGTGTCAAGCGCCTCAGCTGATTGTTTTTAGCTTGTGATAACCAAATGCACTTTTTAATAAGGGTTATTTTTGTAGCTGTAAGTTATAAAAGAAAAAAAAAGTGATAGCTATAAAGATACTTTTATTAGTGAAATTTCCTTAAGAATGCTATGAAATTCTCTAGTTCCTAAGCCCCCTGAGATAATGGAGATGCGAATACGAGCAGCTTAAACAAGATGGGTGTGTGTCTTTCTCTCTTATAATAGAAATATAGAGGCGGCCCACTCGGGGCTGGTGTGGCAGTGCCATGAGTTTGTTGATATCCAGTCCTATTCCCGTCTGTACTGCAGAAAACAAGCCTGACAGGTAACAGGGCCAGGTGTGTGTGGTAGCCCGGGTAGCATCCCCGGTTTCTTAGGCAGCTGCAGTGGGGACTGTGTTTCCGGTTGACAGATGAGCTTGTTGGGGCTCTAATGGCAGAATCGACGGTGGGAACTCACGTCTGTCTGAGTCCAAAGCTTGTGCTGGTGACCGCAGGGCAGCCTGTCCCTTCTTGCCCAGAAAGGTTAGCTGCGGCACAGCTGCTGGGGGTGGAGGTGGAGGGTTAGATGGGAGCTTAGCAACTGCAACCCAAAATGAGGGTAGGACATTGTGAAGGGCTCCGTCCTCAAACCGCCCTGGAGCGGCTCCTGTCGGGTCCCCAAGGGAGGCCAGCCCCGGACCCCGCCACGCTGTGGCCAGTGATGGGTGAGCGTGAACAAGGGAGGCATCAGGTAGGACCCTCACTGTGTTCTCTTCAACTTGGTGCTAACTTTGGGCAGTCACCAAAATAGCATCCATGGTCAGACCCTGGCTGGAAATGTTCTGGAAAGACCCAATTTAAAGGACAGAACAGACCAAATGCAGCATTTGAAGCAGCTCCAATACCTGCCAGCAGCAGGGCCTTGAGCACTCGATGGAGCGTCTCCATGGCAGAACCTCATGCGCCCTTGACGGGAGGATTGGGAAGGCTCTGTTGCACCACGAGTTTTATGTCTGAGCAGCAGGAAGTGAATTAGGCAGAGGACCGGACCGTGTTGTGTGCACACGGTTATTTTAACTAAACCCCACCCGTGTGATGTGTATCGGGAGCACATTTCTAATGCTAGATTGAACCATGTGAAATGTAACTAAGATGAAATGCATAATGTGTGTGGGCAGGACTGGAAAAGGAGGCAGAAAGTGTTGCCTGCCTGAGGGTTGGGATTATGGAAGAGGTGGTTTTTTATTTAATATATATTTTTAGTTAAATATACACTTATCTAGAACCTAGCAGTCTCACTCTTGAGTACATATGCAAAGGAAATGAGTGCACTGGCTGGGTAGCTCAATTGGTTGGGGCGTCGCCCTCCACACCAAAAAGGTTGTGGGTTTGATCCCCAGTCAGGGCATGTATAAGAGGCAACCAATCAATGTTTCTCCCTCACACTGATGTTTCTCTCTCTCCTCCTCTCCCTTCTTCTCTTTAAAAACCAATAAAGAAACATATCTTTGGGTGAGGATTAGAAAAAGGAAATGAGAGAATGCATCCCGCAGGTCCATTAAACCCCAGCAGTCAGTGGCTCAGAGAGGCTGTACATGACAGAGGCTGGCACTCTGCAGCCAAGTGTCTGGGTTCGAATCCCAGCTCTGCCACATCCTAGCCGGCCACGTGATCTTAGGGACGAGGTGAGCTAAGTTCTTTGTGCCTTAGTTTCCTGATGGTGAGAAAGGAATGAGCACCTCAGAGGTCTTGGGTGAGGATTCAATGAGTTGGTATATGTGAAAGTAGTTCAAACAATGCCACAGAGGGTGAGCTCTGCATAAGTGTTAGCTATTCTATTTGTCATCGCTGCCATCGTTGTTGGCTCTCTGCCAGCAGTTCACCAGGTGAGTGGAGACACCTGCTAAGAGCAGCCCAGCTCCAGCATTCGCCTCCTGGTGGCATCATTTATGTCCAGACTTCCTCCAGCACAGCCCCGGGAGGCTGGGATGAGGACAGCTCCACTCACTCCCCTGTCCGTTCTGTGCCCCAGAGGTTCTACGTGGCCTCCTCCCGGCAGCTGAAGCGCCTCGAATCCGTCAGCCGCTCCCCGGTTTACTCCCACTTCAACGAGACCTTGCTGGGGGTCAGTGTCATCCGGGCCTTTGCGGAACAGGAGCGCTTCATCTCCCAGAGTGACCTGAAGGTGGACGAGAACCAGAAGGCCTATTACCCCAGCATCGTGGCCAACAGGTGGGCACACCGGGCCCACCAGAGGGGACGTGGGAAAGCCGCCGTAGCTCCTGGAGGAGGGTGTGAAACCAAACTCAGACCCTCCCAGAGGGAATGGTTCGATTTGGTGAGGACAGAATAACAGTGAAAAGCAGACAGGGACACTGTGAGCACCAGCACTCCGGGGCACTGAAGGACAGGGACAGAGAGCTCTTCTGGAGCCAGAAAATCATACAGAACCTGCCCTTTAGCTGTCATGCTGGGGGCATAGGAGCACTAGGGGTGGGCAGACTCAGCTGTTGTGTATTTTCCTACCGTAGTTTCAAGCTGAAGGGCGACCCCCAACCTCACCCCTGTGATGTGTATCAGGAGCAAATCACGAATATTAAGTCAAACCATGTGAAATTGTCATTTAGGGTATGAAGAATGGTTGAATTGTGTTAATAAAAAAAAAGAAAAAGATTGATGAACAAGAAAAGATCGAGAGACAAATGGCAGGGAAGGGGGTGGTTAGAGAGCAACCAGAGGACTTGTGTGCATGCATATTATTAGCATGACCAATGGACACAGACACTGGGACGGTGGAGGCTTGCCCGGGGTGGGAATGTCTAGGGGATGGTCAGTCAGGGGAGCTATATGTAAAACTTTAGACAATAAATAAATTAAGTAAGTAAGTAAGTAAGTAAATAAATAAATAAATAATTCTACTGAAAAGCAGAGAAAAAGAAGTTTGCTAATTTATTATTATATATATATTTTTTGCTTTTTAGAGGTAGAAGAAGGGAGAGGGGGAGATAGAAAAAGAGAGAAAGAGAGATCATCAACTGCCATCTGTATGCCTCCTACCCGAGCATGTGCCCTGACCTAGAACCGAACGAGCAACTTTTTGGTGCACAGGACAATGCCCAACCAATTGAGCCACACTGGCCAGGGCAAAGTTTGCTAATTATTGACTGAATTTAGAAAAGTGTCTGCTTTATCTCTAAAATATCCTCCTCACTGGGTTGTATTCTGATACAGTTTTTGAGATGAGGGGATAAGAAAACGCTGGGGCAGGGGTAGCAGCATCCTGGAAGTGACCCATCATAACCAACCGCCAGCCCACCATGTACAGTATGATCCTACAGGGTAAGGCTGGGTGGGAGACCGGGAGTTATTGGAGACCCCGTCTTCCCTTGCGGAACTTTTAGAGTATTTGTCACTATGCCTGCCTGTCTGTGGTAGTGGCTCACCCCCAAGAAGATCAGTCACGCGGGTCTAAGAGCTGTAGTGGGAAAAAGGCTAACCCATCTCCCTAGAATGCTTTACATTTTGAAACATTAAAATAATATTTCTAATGTTGTGTGATATCTTACAAAAGTTACCTTTAAATCATTAAAATATCTGTTTATATTTTAAAAGGTAAAATACATTTTTTAAAAAAATATATTGAGTTTTTTTTACAGAGAGGAAAGGAGAGAGATAGAGAGTTAGAAACATCGATGAGAAAGAAACATCGATCAGCTGCCTTCTGCACCCTCCCCCCCACTGGGGATGTGCCCGCAACCAAGGTACATGCCCTTGACCGGAATCGAACCTGGGACCTTTCAGTCCGCAGGCCGACGTTCTATCCACTGAGCCAAACCGGTTTCGGCAAAAGGTAAAATACATTTTAATGTTTCTGAGATGAGGATGATCTGGATCTGGGAACCCTTACACTACATTGAAAATAGTGTGTTTTTTCTCAAAACCCTTTTCCCTGCCAAGAGAAGGTTATTTTATTAAAAAATATTTTTATTGCTGTAACCAGTTTGGCTCAGTGGATAAAGCGTCAGCCTTCGGACTGAAGGGTCCCGGGTTTAATTCTGGTCAAGGGCATGTACCTTGGTTGCGGGCACATCCCAATGTGTGCTCTGGGAATCGAACCATGACCTCCTGCTTCATAGGTTGATGCCCACCCACTGAGCTACAGCTGGTCAAGAGAAGGTTATATTAAATCAGTGGTGCCTCTTGCAGCCGATGACTTAGTATTTACTAATTTTTCAGGACATCTTTTTAAAAAAATGCACACATGGCTGTTTTGAAAGGTTTCAATGAGAAAAAAGTTGGTTCTTAAAAAAGCAAGCTTCCATTTCCTGGGAAGATTGCTTCCAGAGAACTGTCTTAATCCCTGGGGTTGCCGGATGCGTGAGGAGTTACTGAAATTGTATCCCTTTGGTCCTCCTTCCCCCTGAGTCCTAGGAGTGGGGCAGAGAAGGCCTTTCTCCGAACTCTCAGGGATTATTTTAGTTAGTGACGTTCCACTCCCAACCCCATACCCAGAACCAGAAACCACGCCTCTGAAAAAGCTGACTCTGGGCGTGTGCCTGTCCTTTTGTCTGCCTGTGTGTCTCATGCAGGTGGCTGGCTGTGCGGCTGGAGTGTGTGGGCAACTGCATTGTCCTGTTTGCGACCCTGTTTGCAGTGATCTCCCGGAACAGCCTCAGCGCCGGCTTGGTGGGCCTCTCAATATCTTACTCGTTACAGGTGAGAGGGGTTGCTCTTGATGAATTTCCCATCTCTCTGAACAGGATAGCCAGTTGTCTTTGTTTTGGGTCCCTGTGGGAGTGCAGGAGAGCAAAGGGGCTGAATGGAATTTGAGGAGCAGGCCTACAGCCCTGTGACTGACTGGAGCTGGAGAGAAATTAGACACGTGGCCTGGATGCCTCCAACTGCAAGAAAAATGCTTATAACAATATTAGAGGCCCAGTGCATGGAATTGGTGCACTGGGTGGGTGTGTTGGGGTCCCTCAGCCCGGCCTGCGCCCTCTCGCAGTCCTAGAGTTTTTGGGGTGATGTCTGACTGCCGACTTAGCTCTGCCACAGTGGCCACCACTGCTGCGCTCACCAGCCATGAACCCGTCTCAGGGCTTCTGGCTGAGCAGCGCTCCCCCTGCAGGAGCGCACTGACCACCAGGGGACAGCTCCTGCATTGAGCATCTGCCTCCTGGTGGTCAGTACATGTCATAGCAGGTGGTCAGTGCGTGTCAAACAGGTCATTCCACCGTTTGGTCAATTTGCATATTAGCCTTTTATTATATAGGATAAATTTCCCTCGAAGTCCTGCTTTAGCTGCATTTCCCATATTTTAATATATTGTATTTTCCTATTACCTATTTCAAAATATTTTCTCATTTCCTTTCTGATTACCAGTGTGGCTCATGGGTGATTTTGAAATGTGCTTGCTTAAGAGATGCAGTGGAGCAAGTCTGTGTGAAGGCTGTGTGCGGGGTGCTGTTCTCTGTACCTTTCTTTTCTGAACTATCTCACAACTCGTAATTACTTCATTAAAATAAAGCAGCTCAAGCTCACTCTAGAAGCTCCATGTGACTCTTCCACCCGCAGGTCACCACCTACCTGAACTGGCTTGTTCGGATGTCGTCGGAGATGGAGACCAACATTGTGGCTGTGGAGAGACTCAAGGAGTATTCAGAGACTGAGAAGGAGGTAGAGCAAGCCCCTGCCCTCACCTTTTGAACTTGATCTTCAGTGTGGCTTTAAAGAACCTCTGAGCCAAACCATGTGTGCCTGCAACTGGCAACCTCTATCTGACAAACCGTTACGTATTTTTATGGGGGACTTCTTTTATGGGGAAAGAGATTAGTTTCTATTTGCTCCTGAAAAATGAATAAATACTAAGTCATCAACTGTTAGAGGCACCATTGATTTAAATAAGTTTTAAAATTAAAGGTAAGTGAGTTGATTGAAAGTATTCAAACGCAATAACAAGAATCAGTACATGGATATTGTAAAGGATAAATACTGGTAAGGAATTGACCCAGCTTTGGAAGATCTTGCAGTTACTGTTTTAGATGGAGAAAGGGTGGCCTAGGGGGAGATGTTGGCAGATTCAAGGTCATATGTGATAGATAGGACCCAAGCCTCTAGGCTTCAGTGCCATGTCGCCCTGAGAAGTGCCTTGTTCTGTCTACACACCACTAGCAATGGTAATGGTGATAATTATGCCAGTAACAGCAATGCTTGGTGATGCCACTCCATTACCACCAACAATAACAATAGGGACATAGATTATGCCCTCGTAGAGGTGTCAGACCCTGTCCTAACACTTCACATAGAGTAATTTATTCACTATACAGCCTTATAACTCACATCCTATTATTACTTCCATTTTACAGGTGAGAAAACTGAGACACAGAGAGGTTAAGTTACTTGCCTGAGACACATGATGACTGATAAATCGCAGACCCAGGATTTGGGTCTTTGTCATTGTGCCACACTGCCTCCCAAGAAAATGCCCCTTGGGAACGAGACCAAGGCTGCCCCAGTTAAAATCTCTGTTAGAGGATTTGCAAAGGTGACCTATGACCTCAGTCTTTTAATGCTGAGAAATGGTGAGCTCCAGGTTCCATTTCATCAGAGGCATCAGCCAGAATGGTGTGAGTGACCCCTGTGGAAATAAGAGGGCATTACACCAGGACTTTCCCCGCCAACATTGAACTCATTTATTTATTTAATCATCCCCCAGGATACCTTTGTTTGTTTGTTTGTTTGTTTATAGACAGAGAGGAAGGGGGGAGAGAGAGAAACATTGATGTGAGAAGGAAACATCGGTCCGTTGTCTCCTGCACAGGGATCCAACCTGTAACCTGGGTATGTGTCCTGACCAGAAGTCTATGCTCCAACTAACTGAGCCACCAGCCAGGGCTGAAGTAATTAATTAGCTTATTAATTTATTTATTCATTCATTTACTTATATTTTTATTGGTTTTTAGAGAGAGGGGGAAGGAAAAGGAGAGAGAGAGATAAATATCCCGTCATTAATTGGCTGCCTCCTGCACACCCCCTGCTGGGGCTTGAGCCTTCAACCCGGGCATGTGCCCTGACCTCGAATCGAACTAGTGACCTCTTGGTGCATGGGTCAGTGCTCAACCACTGAGTCACACCAGGCAGGCTGAGTTTGTTTTCTTATAACATCTTTAAGAGATAATTCACACTCCATAAAATTCATCCACTTAAAGTGTGAGTTTTTTTTATTTTACAAAAATATTTTACTACTTTTATTCTATATTTTTAGAATAAGAACATATTTGAAAAATACAAGAAGTCGTCGAGATCACTTAGAGCCCCACTATTATGATATATATGTTTATTTATTGTGTATATATTATGTATAAATATAAACAATACATTATAAACAATATATATTCATGTTTGAAAGTTCCCACTTCTCTTCAGTCGCTCCTATGTTTTTATAGCATGTCCTTTTTATTTATATACTTAAATTATAAAAGGGAAATTTTTTTGTTGTTAAAAAAAATAATAATATAAGAAGTTTGTGGGGAAGAAAGGCTGAAAGTTTTCTTTTATTTTCCTCCCTGCTCCTCTCTTTCCTTAAAGGTAGCCCCAAGGCTGGCCTGGGGCGTATCCAGTTGTAAGTCTCAGGAAATGCTGACCTGGACTAAGAATTCAGAAACAGGGCCTGTGTGACACGGGGGCAACGTGCTCCCCTGTCTGTGTCTCAGTCTCCTTGTGTGTAAACGGGATGATGAAAGGACCCCATGTATGGGGCTGTAGTGAGGATTAAATGAGATAATGTGACAGAGTGTTGTTTAAGTGGTCACTGCCGCTTTTATTGTTGCAGTCCAGACCTGGAAGGCAGTCAGCCTTGTGTCTGTTCAGAAAAGACCACTTTGATTCAGTCCATACATATTTATTGAGCACCTACCATGTGCTCTGGGCCCTGGGATAGAACAGTGAACGAACAGTACAAGAACCTGTCCTCATAGAGGACAGAGGGGTGCAGGGCCAGGAGAGTGGCCTGACTTGCTCTAAGATCTGCAGGATGTGGGGTAGCAGGCTGAGTAGGTAGCTTGGGGAAGAGCATTTCAGGCAGAGGAACCTGCAAATGCAAAGGCCTGGAGAAATCACCCTGAAGTCAGTATGGGGAGCGGAGTGAACATGAGAGAGGAGGTGAGGTTAGAGAGGTTGTAGAGGCCGAGCACAGAGAGCCTTGGGGCCTGAGATGGACCTCAGATTCCTTATTTGCCGCCCTCCTCCCCCACCCATTACAGGCTCCCTGGCGGATCCAGGAGATGACTCCAGCCAGCACCTGGCCCCAGGTGGGCCGAGTGGAGTTCCGGGACTACAGCCTGCGTTACCGAGAGGACCTGGACTTGGTTCTCAAGCACATCAACATCACCATCGAAGGAGGAGAAAAGGTGGGTGCACACAGTTCTCCCACCCGTTCACAGTCGGCACAGCTTGTGATCAGGCACATGAAACCGGCTGTTATTTCCGCAGCCCATACCCTGGGGTGGCTATTCAGACAGTGTCCCCCAGGGCTGCACACTGGTAATCGGAGGGCCAAATGAGGTCCACAGAGAGGTTTTGAAAAAAAAAAAATCTGAATAAGCCCTAACCGGTTTGGCTCAGTGGATAGAGCATCGGCCTGCAGACTGAAGGGTCCCAGGTTCGATTCCGATCAAGGGCATGTACCTTGGTTGTGGGCACATCCCCAGTGGGAGGTGTGCAGGAGGCAGCAGATTGATGTTTCTAACTCTCTATCCCTCTCCCTTCCTCTTTGTAAAAAAAATCAATAAGATATATATATTTTTTAATCTGAATAAGTTGCAAATACTGAAAAATCTGGAACTTTTTCAATAAAAATCCATTTCCTGCTTTTCTCGAAAGATCACAGCATCTAGCAACACTGGGCTCATACTCCCCACCTGGCTCTTGGGAGGCAAGATGTGAGCCTCGCTGTTCACTCGGTCCCTCCCCACCCCATTCAGGTGCCTCCACGGACCCTGGAGGCATTGAGTTTGGGATCTCCTGGATAGAAGGATGCCACCCTCACTGCTGGGGACGGCTCAGGGGGCATGTGAAATTGTCAGAATTTTGGAAGAGCCTTGGTCCCCAGCTGTTCCTGGAAGATGTTCTTCCCCTCAGACCCTCCGATTCTCAGAATCAGACCAGGGCCTTCCTGGCCGTTTTCCAGGGAACAGTGCTTCTTTCATCTCTGAACATACGGACTCGTTACACTGTCCCTTCCGCCAGGCTCAGAACGTTCTGTCCCCATGAGATAAGTTCTCTAATTTACAACGAGGAAAGAACAGAGTGGGCATGTTCTCGCCAGGCTTTCTGTGTATCATGAGAGACTGCCCTGTGGCATCGCTGTGGGCGGCAGAGGAAACCCACCTCTCAGGAGCCCAGGTGAAGAGGGTGTGTTTGGATGTCAGGGGCCGTCATCATTGGCCAGTGCATGGGAGCCCAGTTCCCTCAAGAGAGGATAGGTGGAGACCAGGTCACATCCATCACCTCGTTTTCCTCGCAGAGCTGGGATGGAGAGGAGAGGTGTGCAGGGGGTGTCCTTGAATATTTGGGCTGTTTCAACAGCTTGGATGGGAAATTCACCATCTCAAATGTAAGGGGCCCTAGCTGGTATGGCTACGTGGTTAGAGTGCTGGCCCCTGGACTGAAGGGTCATGGGTTCAATTCCAGTCAAGCGCACATACCTTGGTTGCAGGTTTGATCACCAGCCCCAATTGGGACCTGTGCAGGAGACAGCCAATCAATGTGTCTCTCCCACATTGGTTTCTCTATCTCTCTCTCTCCTTCTCCCTTCCCCTCTGAAATCAATAAAAAAATTTTTTTAAATGTATCTCTCTCTCTTTCTCTCTTTCTCTCTTTCTCTCTTCTCTCTTCTCTCTTTCTCTCCCCCTCCCCCTTCCCTTCCACTCTCTCTCAAAATCAATGGAAAAAATATCCTGGGGTGAGGATTAACAACAACAAAAGAAAAAAGTACAGTGTGAGGGAAATAACCTGATTATTAATATAATCATGAGTTGAAAATAATACGGCCTATTTAAAATCCCTCCCTGTCTGATGCCTGGGTCTTTGGAGGTCTAGTAGCTTATCAAAAGAGCTAATTATAATTTTAACATATAAAGAGCTGACAACAGCCCCTAAAGAAACGCTTCTAGGAAGCTGGAAGAGAGGGCTGTGGTGGGAGTTGGTTGACCAGATGACTGAGCTGCCCTGGGGCAGATGTCTGACATGAGGGTGTTCTGAGACAGGAGGTATCCCCCAGATAGCAGCATTCCCACCTCACGCTGGTCCTTCCTGTCCCACAGGTTGGCATCGTGGGGCGGACGGGAGCCGGGAAGTCATCCCTGACCCTGGGCTTGTTTCGGATCAAGGAGTCTTCAGAAGGAGAGATCATTATTGACAACGTCAACATCGCCAAAATCGGCCTGCACGATCTCCGCTTCAAGATCACCATCATCCCCCAGGTGGGGTCTGTGTGAGGCTACCAGGAGCGCTGGGTCCCACTGAGAGCAATGCGTTTCTGTTTTCAGCATGCAGATATAAATGTGTCCCTGCTTTATTATCCTTATTAAAGTTATGCTATGTCACTTCTCCACTGAATCTCCTCTTGGCATATAAATAGCAGTGGGAATTAACCAGGTGTCGTCCCTGCACTTTGCCACCCAGAGCATCTAACGGGACGCGTAGGCACTGGCTTTCTGCTGGCTGTCAGTCAGGACAAAACTCTCTTACCCTTCCAAGAGCTAAGGGAGAAGAATTTTCTAGCCCTGCTGGCATGACTCAGTGGTTGAGCGTCAACCTATGAACCAAGAGATCCTGGTTGATTCCCAATCAGGGCACATGCCCAGGTTGCAGGCTCGATCCCAGTTGCGGGTGTGCAGGAGGCAGCCGATCAATGATTCTCTCTCATCATTGATGTTTCTCTTTCTTCCTTCCTCTCTGAAATCAATAAAAACATATGTTCAAAAAATACTACAGATGTGATTTAAAAAAAAAAAATTTCTAGACTGATTCCTGAAGGTGCTGTTTCCCTAATGTGTTGCTTTTTAATGTTATTTTCCCTGAAATTTCTTTTAAGATTCTGTTTTGGAGGCAGGGGATTGAAAGGAATCCACAGTACTTGACGATTAGGAATTAACCATGTCACATCTTTCTGCAAGATGTGCATATCGAAGACTCCAGGAAGTCTTCTCAAAAAATTAATCTATTCTATTTCACCTAACACAAAGATTTCCAGACAAAAAAAAAATGACCCCCCCCCATTATTAAGATCTCTAGAAATAACGATTCAGAGGAACTCGCATGCCCGATCGTGAACAATTCTGGCACGAACTCTCTGTGTCCACCTCTGTCCCATCCATGTCCAGCTGACGTTGAGCCTCACACACTGACGGCCGTCTTCTCTCTGAACAGGACCCCATTTTGTTTTCGGGTTCTCTCCGCATGAACCTGGACCCATTCAGCCAGTACTCGGACGAAGAGGTCTGGACGTCGCTGGAGCTGGCTCACCTGAAGAACTTTGTGTCGGCCCTTCCTGACAAGCTGAACCACGAGTGCACGGAAGGCGGGGAGAACCTGAGGTGGGTGCCCCCTCGGTCAGGGCGCTTGATGATTCTGCCCTTTTGCATCTGTGTCTGATCCAGGTCTGAGGCCCAGCTCTGCCACACATAGGCCTCTTGTTTCTTGGAGCCTCGGTTTCAGCATCTATAAAATGGGTTTCAGCCAGGTTTCATCATGACTGGGCTCATTCGTGTGACTGGGGGTCCGCTGCAATTGGCTGATCTGATTGGCCTCCCTTGGGACAGTTCATGTCCCTCATCCTCCAGCAGACCAGCCCAGGCGTGTTGTCATGGTGATGGAAGAGGTGCAAACCCTGGCGTGCATTCCCATGTCAGGCTTCTGCCAGCCTTACGTTGGCCAGCACCCCATTGTCCAAAACAAGGCACATGGTTGAATCCAGAGTCAGTTGTGAGGGCCTGGATACGGGGCCCCTTTTGCTGCCTGTCACACTACCCACGCTGACCATGTCAGATGTTTGCGTATTCCTCTGAGCCCTGTGCTGAGAATGACCCCGAGCTCGCTT